GATCGTTAGATATCTCGGTGCTAGCTTCTGTGAGCTTATCGCGAATTGTGCAACGTGTTCGTCGCGTGCCGACGAAATTGCCGTTATTACCTCATCTAGTTCAGAATTGTGTCAATCGAGGGCTTTTCTGTCATCAATCATATAATATGGAACGAATTTTATTAAGGAACATTGTAATGCAAAAATAGGAAGATTGATAATTTCTTTTGGAATAGTTTGGGAGTTCAATCGTTTAAAACTACGTTCTAATAGATTTATTTTTAAGTTGAAAAATATAACGATGTTGTAGAATATTGAAAGATTAACTTAAAAATACATTCTTGAAAGATTCGTTTTGAGATTCGACAAATTGAAGTAGTTACTACTTATTTTCTAGAGTGTGTTATTAAAATATTCTTTTTTACATCTTATCCGAGTTTGAAATTTATTTTAGAAATTTAAATCAACAACTAAATCTGCTTTTTGAATATTAAATTTTCTTTCAAACCATATTTCTAATCATATATTTTCACTATATTTTCAGTGTTGTGTATTCTGATTATAGATCTACCAAGAAGTTCAAAGATATTACGTTTAATAAATGTCTACAAACTCGTCTTTAATCTAACATTTGAACAAGCATTGTCAATTTGAATTTGCATAAAAATCGTATAAATTCGCTAATAAATTAAATGAAAGGGGGTTTGGATAAATTGTTCGAGCGTTGTACTCTCGCTGAGAAAAACGAAATTCTACGGAGAAACCCATGTCGTCGAAAACGCTTCGCTAGCATTACGCATCTCAACTTTCCCATGAGTATGAGTACTCACTCGGTACAGCGGTATCTTTTTATTAGGTCCGTGTCTGTCCACTAACACTGTACATTGCGTGGGTTTGCCCGTCGCTCCTTTGACTGGGACCAACCACACCGTCGTCGGTTCTCCGTAGAGTTCGGGTGTCGCTTATTTCCTCTTTCTTCGTGTTCCTCTCAACGTGGTCGTTTCAAGGGTCCTTGAAACGAACCGAAATCTCGCGTGGTTTTCATGACCGTCGAGTGGCGCTAGGACCACCCGCAAATAACGCGTGCCATTAATTCTAAAAACGGACCGTAACGATATCAATTACTTTTGCTAACGTCACGCTCCGTCCTTCCGACTTTCATCGAACAGTTCAAATACTCCAAAAGTTTAAAAATAACAAAAATAAATTTATCCTCTTTCGAGCTTCGCGTACACAAGGTTACTCGATTCATTAGGGATATATCTTAGCGTGTCTAGAATTTCTGGAATTTTTTCGCAAAATAAATTAACTGTTTTTATTATTAATATATCGTTTGTTGAAGAAGGTTTCTAAGTTTTAAATTTTATGGAGGCAATAAACATTTTTTAAGAAGTGAAGACACTTTGGGCCAAAAAAGATCCAGAATCGAAGATCATCATAAAGTTGAACTACTTTTAGTAAATTGTTCAGGGAATAGAAACAAGCATATGAGTTTTGTAGAAACAATAAAAGACCGTTTTAGGGTTAAACCTCGTTGTCCAAGATACATGTTTACTTAGGAATTCGATCGATGTCAGGGGCATCGTGCACTACGTAATTACAGGGTGCATTCGTACTTCGGTTCATTGGCCAGGTAAATCGGATTCGAAGTTAATGCAAACAGAGACTATTAGCACCAACACAGGTTAAACCGAAGCGACTCGAGCCTCGTGACCCCATGTTTCGCCTACGAGATAGGGAAAGACGATGCATACGTGTGGGGACGTTATACACGTCCGTAGAAAACAGCTGAGAGTCGAGAAGACGAGTGTTCCTCCGTATGATACATCCACGACGAAATTAATGCCCCAGGATTCCCGGTTCCAAGGACAGAGGCTTGTAGGATTGGAGGACGAAACATTCTATCGCAACGGTGCCACCAACATCCTTGCATTCCGCCGATGAGCCGCGATACGATAAATTTTCCAAGGCTATATACGTTGGCCGATGTTGGGAAATACCGTTCGCTTTTAAGGCATACCGCTTTATCTTGGAAATGCAAAAAATACCATTTTATTCAGGAGTCACCGATCCCCTGAATCTCGTAGGTTGCATTGTTTAGATACTCCGAAGGATGAGAATTCTATCGCTCCAAATCGAAAACAGCCGCGTGATTTTAAAAGACCGAGATTTAGCTCTTCCAGAATCAAGGCGCAAAGTCAAGTAGTCCTTTTAATTAGAAGGGAGTTGCAACCAACGTGACGATCGTCTGTTCTATCATTATCAATAGTGGCACAAAAGTGGGATCAAAAATATTTTTCATCGCAATATTCAAACTATTTATACAGTCTATATATTACTTTGAATTTGTTTTTACACGTCATCAAATGATACAGTGTAAGAGCATGAGTGCTGATTTTAGAATAACACTTTTATATATCAATTCTATGCCCAGTCAATATAAGTTAGCACATACATTAATGTTAGGTTGAATCATTATTAGTTTGAGTGGTACTAATCCTCCTACAATTTTGAATACTTTTGTACGAAAAATACTCTGAATACATTGAGCTGAAAATATAAATTCACTTAAACTGTGACGAGTTTTAGACTTAGAACGACTATTTTATAGATCGTAAGCTCCATCGGAAGTTGAGATTTCGGTACAAATCGTTTCCTTTTCGCTCGAGGAGGCTATGGAAAGCTCGAAGAAAAGGCTGACCATCGCGCCGACGACGAAGGTTCGTCAACCTCGCATTCCAGCGCTCGAACACCAAATACTCGAGAGGGTAAGTGCCCGGTTCAAGCACTGGTAGCAACAAACGGAGCTACGTCAGCAGGGAAACCTCGTTTCGTGAAAACGTTTCGGCGGAACGGCGAAAAGTCGGCGCCTCTTCCGTCGACGAACACCCACGCTCGCGTCTATCGCCTACCAACACGACGGTAGCCTAACTTGCGCTCGCGTGCGCCTTTCAGGGACGTGTACGCGTATCGGATTGACGAGTTCCCGCCCGAGTCGGCGGTTGGTCGTTGCTTTGGCAGCTCCTCGTCTCGCCCAGGTAGCGAGCGAGCTGGCTAGAGTCGCGACGCAGAGGTCGAAGCGAGATACGGACAACCCGGATAAGGACGGAGATAAGGGGGCGTGGGAGAGAGATAGGGCGGCGCGGGAGCGAGAGAAAAAATGCAAAAGGGAAGAAATAAAGGCGGGAACCGTGGGAGAAGGACGGGCCGACGTGAGAGAAAAAGACGCACGGAAAACACGAAGGTCCGCGAAGAGGGAAATTGACGAGCGAGTACCGTTGCGGCAAGAAATGTTGGAAAAATTCCTGACGAAGTTTCGAGGAACTCTCTGATACTCGAAGTAAATTTTGTTTTGCTCGGTTGCCTGCTACCGACTTTACACCTATATCAACAAAGCTAGGTAACGTGTTGGTTGTGAAGAGCTACGACCTTACTGAACGAATCCTTCGATGTAGGATTTCCAAACGTTGTTATCGTGGACTTGAATAAATGAACGTGGTGATTATTTAGATTTTGCTTGGACCAGGTGTCCACCGTTTGTTATCCATCGTGATATTATTATATTATATTAGAGCAAAACTCTTCGGTCTATCTCATTTGATTTCACTATGCTGATGCCCCTTTTTTGTTACCTATTCCCATTTGTAATGTTATCATGGACTTGAATAAATGAACGTGGTGATTATTTAGATTTTGCTTGGACCAGGTGTCCACCGTTTGTTATCCATCATGATATTATTATATTATATTAGAGCAAAACTGTTCGGTCTATCTCATTTGATTTCACCATGCTGATGCTCTTTTTCTGTTACCTATTCCCATTTGTAGTAGCGACAAAATCGTGGCCGGTTAGACTTGCATTCTTCAGACTCGCCAACTTATCAGCTCGCAGTAGTACATGCGTAATTACGTGTAATTGCACGTATACAGAGGTCACTCAACAAGTAAAGGGACAAATGATTGAAATACTGTTTATTTAGTAAGTGTTTTCCTACTTGGTGGAACTTTTATTTTCATACGATGGGTATCAGTTATCACAGAAAGGCGGAAATAAGTTCTATATCAAGTAGCATAAATAGCGAGAACAATTAAACAAGTATGCAATTCATATTGCAGGCTTCCGACTCCGATTTTAATGCGCTTCTGCAGAATAATGGTAGAGTGATCCCTTTTGATGTATGTAAAATATTAAGCTAGATACTCAACAGTTTTTAACATACCTTGGTATACAAGAATCTACATGTGGTGAAGTGGTATAAACGTTAAACTAGTAAACGTGGAATCATTAGTTCGAGTTTCACCAAAACACAATACCTCTTTTTCTTATTTGTCACAATTTCACTTATTAGGTTATATCATAACACACCTTCATGTGTCTCAAAGTATTTACTTATACCTTAAAACCTGTTGAGTATCTGCACCAAATATTTTACAGACATCAAAAGGAATCACTCTATTATCAATCTACTAAAACATACTAAAATCAAAGTCGATCAATTTGCTTCCCTAAACACTCTGTTGAGAGGGGTCTGTGGAAAAGAAAAGGTTAAAAACTACTATCCTGGTCCAAACAAAAATGAAAATGAACACTTTACTATCAATCTACTAAAGCACATTAAAATCAAAGTCGATCAATTTGCTCTCTAATAAACACTCTGTTGAGAGGGGTCTGTGGAAAAGAAAAGATTAAAAACCACCACTCTGGTCCATAAAGAAATGAACAAAAAAGGGGTTTTCTAACACGTCAGATTAGAATGCCCCCTTAAGAAAATTGTTGGAAAAAGGAGGGACGAACGGAAAGAGCAAAGGCTCGAAAGAGGAGAAACAACAGGAAAGGGACAGAGAAAACGCGTATCCGAGGAACGCAACAGGGAGCTCTATCAGGCGAGAGAGAGAAAGAAAGAGGGGTACAGTGCTCGTACGGTCGGTTTGCCGCCTGCCGCGTAGTAGTAGCGTGCCGAGCGAGCAGCGAGCAACGCCGAACGTCGTCGTCGTTTCTCAGTGTCGCCGCGGCGGTCGTGCCAGACGGTTCTGACAGTAGTTTTTCGTGGCAAGCGCGAAACGTCTCGTCTCGTTTCGTTTACGTGCGTGTCGATCGGTGGCAACGTGCGACTTGTTGGATTAAGTGCACCCACGGACGGGGACGTGACTGCAGGATTATCGGTTTAAATTCGCGAACGCGTAGCAAATACATCCCCTTTTTTCTCGCACGTTCGTTTGGGGCTACCCGAGAGGTGCACGACTGACAACAAAACGACATTATCGGCGGTTCCGATTTCCTCGAGACGGTAGTTTCGCGCGAGCGTTCGGGGATCGTTTTGTGAACCGTGAAAAACGCCGAGACGAAGCGGTGTGTGTCGCGTGCTCGAAAAGTGTGATCGTCGGAGACCACGTGGAACACCGTGGGCGCCATCGCGGGCTGAATTTCGAATTTCGCGCGACAACGGCGGCGCGAACCCGCGGCCAAGTTCATTGCCGTGCGCTCGGCCTCGGGCGGTTTTCTCCGAGTGAAAAAAAAGCGTTGGTTATTGGTGGCAATCTCTCGTGGCCGTGGAACACACGGCGGGTGGCACATTGTAGCCGTCTCGAGCGGCGTTTGTACAAGTGGATTTAACCTTGCGACCGAACACGTGGATGCATGCCGACCTGTCTACGACGCCGTGCTTCTGAGCGCCGGTGCTGTCTACACGAAAATTTCAGGTAACCTCCGCGTTTCTGTTTCGTCGCTCCGACTAACATCATCCGGTGACAGTGACAGCTGTACACTGTATTACGTGCACGAACGATCGTAATTATATTATTCGAATCGAGAAACGTTGGTTCTGGGGTTGAACACTGACAGTTCCATTTTAAACCAGTACTAAAGAGATGCATAATTTCGTATGGTATTTTGTTTTTATTTGTCATTTGATTCGCTTCTTTTGCTGTAGGCTTTAAACATTTTAATTATTTTTAATCGATCAATAAATTCATTTAATTATCAATTTCAATTATTTATTTATCGTTTAACACGTCGACGAGTAAACTCTTTTCGTTGTCTAGACAACTTTTGATAGTAACGTTGATTATATCTATAAAGATATATACGTATATAAAATATTAAAATATTCGACTTTTAAGAGGTAGGGTTTGTCGATCATTTAACACTTTTCACTTTTGAGTCACCTGTGTCGTGATACGTATACTCTATTTTTGAAATCGTTGAGTCACCTCTGATGCGATACGATACTTAATTAAAAAATAATTAATTAATGAAAGAATCGTACATGCATGCAATTGACGCATTATTTATTTTTCGTATAATACGCCAAGTGGTTTCACGCGAAGAAACTGCGATTTCTTCAAATAGAAGTTAGAGTTTTAAGAGTTCTGCTTTTATGCGTCATAACTTCAACAAACGTAAAGCGAAATGAATAAAAATAATTTAACTGCGTACGTATCTAACCTTTCTCCATCGTTCGAGAAGGTTCTTTAACTCCATATTTTTCTTTTTGAACTAAAAATAACGTTCAAACCTGATATATCTACTGTTTACAGTCGCAAGTACTAAGGCACCCGTTCAAACTATCAGACAGTAACATGTTTATCTTCTCGATAAACACTAATAAGTGAAAGAGACTCGAAGGAGATGCTGCATTTAGAAACAAACGTCTGTTTTCATTTAATCGTTTAAACCATAAAGTACCAAATTATTGTTAAGTATCTCCAAATTAATATTTTATTTCTTTATAAATTGTCAAATTCCATTTAATTGTTTAACTCGAAAAGTATCAAATTATTGTCATCTAAAAATTCATACCTATTTTCTGTGTGTCGAAATAAAAAAATACCTAGTTAATTTTTTATTGCAAAAAAAAAGGAAATTTTATTTTTGTAGACGTTATGACGTGTTTTGTAAATAGGAGCACCAGTATTTAGAAATATCTAATAATTTTGGAACACTTGCATAGCATTCGGTGTAAAACAGCAAAACAATTGTAAACAATAAGCTTCTATAATCATTTTCTTGGTCTAGAAATATACTAGAGTAGAAAATTGGTGCAAATTATTACAGAATATAATAATTTTTTCTTCATAATATATTATGAAAATGGTTACATTTAAATTATTTCGTAGTAAATAACAAGTTTTAATATTCTATGGTACACACATTGTCTTATTTTCCAAATTTTTCTACCAAAAGATTTTTTATTTAACATTATTACTGTAGAAGGGAATTCTTAATCTTCTTTGGTTCGTAGGTTCTTAATCATGAATAACTATGATAAGAATTTCGAAATCTTTAAGAAATAAAAATTTATACGGTCTCTTGTTAAACATTTGTAGCGCGGTGTTAATATTCCCACGACATGATGATGCACCACGGCATGATGGCTATGAGTCAGTAGTGTAAACAAAAAGGGATACCTCGTTAAATAAAGAAATAGATAAATAAATTCATATCTGTGTTCTAATACGTTCAAAATGGCAGAATTTTTATTCTGACGATGATTGAAAGTTGATGACTGTACTTACAGGCACCAGATGGAATTAATATCGAAACTAGATTTTATATTAACTCGAATCAGTGAGAGTATCGAGTATTGCATAGGAAAATATGAATCAATTTTTATTGTTGATCGAAACAAGCGTTTTATCGTAAATTTAGAAAAAATATATTTTATTTTGGATAAAAATTAGATGCCATTATTATGTTTTTGATTATAAAATTCATTTTATAAAAAATAAATACAATCAGTTTAAACTTCAAGGTTCTTTTATTACGTGCATATTTTTTCATAAAGTAATTCTTAAACTAAAATTGTATTACGGGCAGTGCCTGTCGAAGCATTATTAAATATTTAAAAACCCATTGATATTTAATGAATTTATTTAATCGACATTAGCAAGAGTATCGTCAAATTATTTTATTCGAATGCTTGATGGTTCATGTCATATATGTGTCACGTCGTTGACAAGTACTCGAGTGGACGATGAAAATTTGTTTTGACATCCATCATGAGTAATTAAGAAATGTATCGCGTTTGTTTACGGAATTATCAAATTATTTTCAAGTGCCTTACGCGCATGTGTCGAGCTGTTAACAACGATTTTGTTAATTATCTGAAGCATCGTCGATTACCTCATTGATTAAATCGTGATTGTGAAACAATTTATTAAAAATTTGTCGAATATTTGCCAAAAACTAGCAACAAATTGTCGTCGAATGCAACATTAGTTTTATTTGTGTTTGATGCGCGACGCTTTACTGGATCGTTATCCCAGATAACGATCGCTGTATTACTCTTATCACTGGCTTCACTATCATCTGTACTCGCGCTACGTGAATATTACTATCGCGATAAAATCGGTGTTACAAATCGTAAGCTATATAACTTCTTTCATAACCAAGCTGAACGATTTATAGTGAATGAAGCAGCTGTTAACAGCATTCTTTCGATACTTATCAAAACTGAACAACGGATTCGTGCATGAGTTGTGGGTTAGGCGACTCAGTTTCTTTAACTTAGATCGCGAATCGTGAAAAATTTTCAATGTTTTTGTTCCTTAAAACAGCCTAGTTTTTGTCTGTTGATTTTAAGGTAATTTGACCTGATTAAATTGTCTTTATAATTTTACTCCATTTTAAGTTTTTTCTATTATGCTATATTGCTATAGGACATTCGTTAATTATATTATTATCGAACACGTGATTTTTTGGTTGTCTTCTCGAAGTGTATGATTTTATTTGTTTACAAAACTCGGCATTTTAAAGTAACGTTTTAATAGATTCATAAATACGTCAATTTCCGCAATTGAATAAAGGTATTCAATTTAACATACCTCATAGCTTGACAGTGAGTGAAGACTCTGAACGTATACGGTACTCTTCACTATTATTTGAACGCATATTATAATTTTACCCTAATTCATAGCGATTCTTTAAGTTGATGGTTATATTCTTCAAATGTAAATGTCTTGAAGTGCTGTCATGCTTCAAAAGCAAAATCTATTTAAAGTCTCCGCGACGGTTGTCAATTGGAACATGTACTGATTCCTAATAACGTAAACTTTGGAACGTAGTTGTCTTTCATTAAAAATTGTAGTCATGTTTTACTTTATTATGCTGAGCGTACGTTCTGATGGTTGTTGTAAATATTTAAATTAGATTCGTTTAAAGTCGTTCGATGTTAGTGTCTCTTTGTAACACAAGAACTAGCAGTTTCTTTTACTATCACTTTGCTTCTTCAAGGACGAACTATTTAAGTTTCAAATAAACAGAACTTTTCTCTGACGTTGTTGTGACATTTATCAATTTCGTAATGATGTATTATTCAAAAATTTAGTGGACATTTCCATTCTACAGTAAATTAAAGAATAAACGTACACGTGTGTATTAATATTTTTTAAAAATCAAGTTGTCATTAAGTATATGAAATATGTAAAATATAAGTTATCATAATCCTGTTTACTTTTCCTAACATAAAGGAATATTTAAAAATGTTACTTAAAATCCTGTATTTTTTAATCTAAAGAAAGATGAAGTATTTTTAAGGATTTTAATTTTAATAATTTTACAAACCTGATTTTTGAACGAGGAAACTTGAATAGGAAAAAATTCAAATGTATGTAATCAACGTCCGCAAATCTAGTGCTAAATAAGCTTGTAGAAGTATAGATAATAATTTCTATAAAATACGATCGACGCGGTTGAAAGCAATACAAAATTCGTATCCATGGAAAGAAAACAATTGCGTGGTTTTCTGCAAGTCACCTGGAAAAGTATCGAAGAAAGACGCAACACGGATACTGCATAGTACACACTAACGATAAACGGTAGTAGTGGTTCGTAATCGGTCGATTTATCGAACTGGCGATCGGTATCTACCGACGACTCGTTCGGCGAGTATGCGCGATTCTCGAAGGCGAAATCCTGATTACGATTCCGCTCAATGTCGCAGTGACATCACCGAGGATCATCATCCTCTTGGAATTCCCTGTCGATTGAATCTGCACGCGTTAAACGCGATCCTCTGCGTTACGCGTGCTATTTATTTCACGATCCTTCCGAAAAAATTTTTACTCCCGCTTTCGAACGCTCGAAGAATTATTTCGCCGATCCGGACAATTAATTAAACGGACGATCAAGCGTTTCTCTTTTGGAATTTAATTTTCTGATTTTTTAGACCCCCGTAAAATGCAAATCGTGCTTCGACGACTCTGGTTATGGAAAGTTGTGTCAAATGGTAATTCTCGCTATTATTGAGTGAAAAACTTAGAATATATGAGAAAAAATGCAATTTTAGGATTTCGTGCAGCTGTGGTTCCCCCAAATAGGATTTAAACAACTTAAAGTGTTCTGGTGTTAAATAACTAAAAATAATTGAACTGTGTACTTATCTAAGTTTTTCCTATCACTCGACAAATTTTTTAACCTATAAAAAATTGAGTAAATTTCAATATGAGTGATGTACGTCTTTAAAAATTCTTAAGACTTTTTTAATACATCACAGATTTTAATTTAGCAAGGTTTGTATCTTTCATTGTTGATGCATATTGAAATGTAACTTTGGTACTTAGTGGGTTGATATAATTGCAGAACGCTTCATTACGCTTATAGCAAATGTCTTTAAAGAGTCAAACATAGATGACAATAGGCTTGGTGTCTGCGAGTGTTTCGGTATTTATCCCATCAATTTCTGTTCGACTCAGTATTATAC